CGGACGAGCCCTCCTTTTGGCCACCCACCACCTCACTCCCACCCAGCTGGCACAAAGCTTGTCTGGGACCCAGCTGTCTGCTTTTATCCTCAGGGGTACCCTAAAGTTGCAAGGGCTCTGAGCTTAGCATGGCACACAGGACTGTCCCCTGTCCCTGGGGTCCCAACCCTGTCCCCAGACTCATTGGTCCTGCAGGGTGACCATGGTGTTGGAGTGGCAGTGGGATGAGGACAGGGGCTGGGCAGGGACTGTGGCTGTGGGGCACCCCACGGCAGTGGGGCAAGTGGGTGCCATGGCTCAGCTGGTTAAAGTGCCTGTCTAGTAAACAGGAGAACCTGGGTTTGACTCCCAGTGGTGCCTGGGCCTGGGGGCTGTTTTTCCTCACAGCCCCAAGCTGGGGTAATGCTGAGATCTCTACCTTGAGTCCCCAGCAGCCCCACTCCCCTCTGCCCCATCAGGATTTCTGCCAGTGCCCACAGCTTCCCATCGTTTTCCCCTTTGAGGAGGGTCTGGCTGTGACTTCTTGGTTACCCCCAGGTCCTGGCAGGGCTGACTGCGGCTCCCTGCTTCTCTGCCCCAGTTTGCCCTCTCCGAATAATGGAGCTGCCTCAGCACGTTCTGGGTGTGTGCTTTTACCAACAGCCTACTTCAGGGCAGGACAGGGACAGTGCTGGAGATGCTGGGGAATATCTGGAAGTCTTAGCGGTGGCAGAAAGGACTTGGGAACATCTCTGGGAAGCGTGGTAGGTGTTAGGTGGCTGGCAGCAGCACATACGCAACAGTGGAGCCCATGGGGATGAGGGGAAGGTGTCCCCTGAGGGTTATGGCATTTCCCAGTGGATGTGGGGTCCTGGGAGACGGGACCCTGGGCACAGGCCTTGCTGCGGAGCTGGGTTGTGGGACTGGGTGCCCTGCAGTGGGTTTCCAGCCCTCATTGCAGGCAGCAGAAGAGACACAGATCATTCAGGGCCATGTCATCCCTCTTCAGCCCCTGTGCAGGATCCTGCTGCACCTGGATGCCACACACCGCCCTGGAACACTGGGGGCTCCAGCCACCTGGCTGGCCCCAGGCAGACCCCAGCCCCTCCAGGACATGCCTGTTGGAGCAGGTGAAGCAGGCACTGGTGGCGGCCACTTCATCGCTCAGGAGCCCATGCTGGGTCCCCTGGGCCCACAGCGTGAAGTGTACCAGGCACCCTCAGTGGGGCCACCAGCAGGCCACCAACCAGTGGCCCCACCTAGATGAGGGAGAGAAATGATGGTTGGTGCAGGGGCCAGGAGGTGCAGGAGAAGGCAGCCATGAAGGAGGCTCTTCAGCCATGGGGAGGGTTGGGGACCACCAGGGACTCACCTGCCGCTCTGGGACTCATCTGTGTAGCTGCCACTGAGGTCCCTGCTGCGGGAGCAGTGCAGCTAAATCCCGTTGAGTGCTGTGTCATCCCCCATCACCTCCTGGGGCGGCTCTACCTGCGAAGAAATGGACGTGGGGGGGTTAACTCCCCGTGGGAGCGGGGTCCCAGACCAGCTGTGGGCACTGGCATGGAGGCTGCACCTTGAAGCCAACGCTGCTGGCATAGCAGCCCTTGGGGCCCATCTCCGGCCAGGCCCAGTCTCCCCAGGGTCCCCCGCTGGACACAGTGATGACCAAGGCATCCCTCTCTCCCAGGTCCTGCTCCTGCCTGTGCCCCACAGCACCTGCAAGCAGTAGCAGCAGTACCTGTCCCCCTGGCATGGCAGCCCTGCCTGCAGCCAGCCCGCTGGGCTCTTATACCTAGCAGGGCCAGCAGAACGGACCTGGCAGCATCTCAGTTACCTTCCCAAGGTGTCTGGGCCTGTCGGATGGCCGGGATTAGCTGCAGGAGAGGGCCAATCCCCCTGCCAGGTGGGGCACAGGGAGCTGATCCACCAGCTCTTTGTTCAGGTCCCTCTCCAGGCAGATTGCCCAGAGCCACTGGGCATCTTGGTGCCAGCTGGGGCTTAGGGTGGTGTGGGGCTCGGGCACCTTCCTCTCCCACTCCGGGCTCCCACTGGGTGCAAGATGGGATTTGCGCTCTGCCTTTTGCTCTTTCTTTTTTGCAGTTAAAATGAACAGGTGTGTTCACTGACACCCCCAACAGAAATCCCTTCCCATCTCTGCTCTCAGACTCAAGGTATTTGTTTCATCATGGCTTCATGCTTCATTTGTCCCAGTTTGCTTTCTGGTTGCACCCTCCTCTTTTGGAGGGTTATTGTCTTAACATCCACCTTCTGCAGTAATAGCTCTTTCAAGGATTTCTGAGTGGGTTTTTTTCCATAAGCCTTGGATAAGAGACTTCCAGCCACCACCATGTCAGGACCTGGATGCCCTTTTAGATGCTTCTTCAATTTCTTCTCTCTGGGCTCCTCGGTTTCCTCCTGCCATACCCTTTCCAAAATTAAATGCTATGGGGCAGGGGGGTGTCTGGTGACCTTCTCCTCCTCAGGAGGATTTGGTTGTGGACCAGGGCACCGCTATTAGATCCCCGCGGGGCCCAAGCACCACGCTAAGCCCAGGCACACCGTGTGCCAGGCAGGTGCCTGAGACAATCCCCCGCCTGCAGGACCCGCCAAAGCGCCGGCGAGGGTGAGAGTCGAGCCCAAAGTGCAGGGCACAACGGATTAGCAGTCCACCGCCTTCACCGCTCGGCCACCTCGTCCTGCTGGACACCCCCCTCCGCCCCGCCCCTCGCTAA